TTTTTCACTTATATACATTGCAACTTCGTAAGAAGACTATTTCAAAAAATTCGTCAAAACAAAATAGGAAAAAGATTTGCTCTCTTCTATTTCTTCTCTATCATTTGTTTTGAGGCTTGCACTTCTCATTTTGTTTGTTTTCTTCTATTATAACTAGTTCATCATATAGTGAGTTTGTTTCTTTCTCCTTTTTATTTTTTAGTTCTTGTGGTACTTTACCACGTGAAAAGAGATACCAGAATAAATCTCGCCTCAACTAATGTATGGAACTCAACCTAGCTTCTCCATATGCAAAGACTTTAACACATCTGATTTTTTCTCATTGGCGTAAAATTATCTATTTTCAGTTGTCTGATTTCAGATACAATGCAAATTCAATGTTTGTCATCAATTGCTTGGATCTAGAATGGAATTATGAAATTTTGTAGAAGTAGATAGCACTTAGTTATCACATTAGACATATTTTTGTTCTTGCAAGCCAATACTAAAAGAAACTTTCAAATCCACAGTTTCCTTGTAATTTATGGTTATTACAATGTATTCAACTTCTATGATTGATTAAAGAAACACAGTTTTGCAACTTGCACTGCTGTGAAACTACTCCACTGCACAAATCAGCATTAATCCCGAATTAGATATAAAATAAGTAAGGAGGTTTGTGGACTTCCACAATTCAATATTGTCAGTCATTTCTACATCTTTGTACCCATCCAATCCAGGTTCCCACTTCAAAATACAACCACAGCCTAAAATGTTTCTCAAATGTCAACTTATTCATTTCATTGTTGCCCAACATTTCACACTTGTAGGACTTCGTTCGGACGTGAACTTGAAATGATGTGCAACCAAAGTAGAAATTCTTTGGCCTTACTCGTGTTTAATCTTTCAAGAATCTTTTCAACGTGGATAATATGAACTTCAATTTTTTCAAGTCACAAGATATGTTCATACTGTGGATTTGCACTGCTTATCCTTCTTCATTGCAAAAGACTTGGTTAACTTCATTTTAAATTTGTAAAAGAACTGTTTTCTTCTCCAACTTTTTCCCCACCCGTGGAGAAAGTAGATACACCACCAAGCCACCAAACCCACTTGCCAACACTCCAAATTATGAACTCTCCACTAACCGCCAGTGTCAACTTGCTCGCCTCCATCATGCCAACTCAACCCTCAACTCAATCACGAGTGGGATGACCCCACTTCTTTGCTTCTATCTTTGAATATTATTCTCCCTCAACTAACATTAAACCTATCTCTTCATTCAAAGGTGAACAGTAAGTTCATTTCTCCCACAAAGATATCCACAAAAAATTGAATCCCTTATAAGACTGCCTCATTGGAAATTTATCAAAAAAACAAATGTCTTATAGAACAAGTTCTAAAATCGTTTTTTATCTTTAATATTACTCTTACTTTTAGTTTATGGTTAATGAATTTTTTTGCATATTATCATTAGATTCTTAGTGGAAAAGGATGATCTAAAGCTTACTCTCCAGACTCTTTGCAATGGCAGGAGCACCTATGAGACTACTGAAATTCTTATATATTTTTTCCCTTCTCCTTTTTGTTTCTATTGACCTGGCTGGAACTTTACAACCTCAGATGGGATATCCCAAAGTAATTCAAGTTTTTAGGATAGCCATAACAGCCATTAAACAATCCTCCGATTCCCTGGCCTCTTCAGGAAACTAATGACCCAGAAATAACAGAATGAATATATCTTGGTACCATAAATTATTTTATAGAACTTATACTTCAGATGATTTGAGAAAAGGGAAAAGCTTATAATCCCTTGAGTTGCGAGTGGGAACTCTAGTTATTGATTGATATCCACTACTAAAAGTGCATTGCCTTGATTCATCTAGTTAGAACTAATAGACCAACAGGGAAGTACGGAAAATGACCAAAAAAAAAGGGAAAAAAACTTACAGAAGAGGGGATGCCGGTGAATGCAAAGAACCCAAGCAATGGAGCATAAAATATACTGTCTGAGTTCAGAACTCCAAAAACAGGTTTCTGATTCAGGTACTCGAATGCGGAACCTATCTGCATTGCGTTCAACACAATCAAAACCAACTACATCTGTAGATATTCTATCCAATTGGTAATGCAAAAGAATTTTAAAGGAACTGGCCTAAAATTGTTCTATAAAATCATCCACTATACTCGGATGGATTGTAATTAGAGACCGAGCAATTTCCTGAAAATTACTATCCTTTTCTCGGGATTATATAATAGTAAATCCTTAAACACCAAGATTCAGTCTTTATCTAGCCATCAACCTAATTGAAACTATAAAAAATAAAATAGTCATCACACAGTGTATTTACCGCGGCAATGGCAGTGATAGCTGATGCAAGCAAGTATACATAGAAGGGAACTTCAAACCCAGAAGACTTTATCTGGGCCTCTTGGCGTGCCCAAGGCGGCGGCTCATCCGAACCGGGTTTCGCCCATGAAGGGACTGATGGGTCATCATTACCGTCTTCTTCTCCTTTCGAGTTGCTTGAGTTTTTCGAAGAGTCTCCGGAGGCAGCCAACACTCTCAGCCTACAACCATATATTGACTGCTCATGCCCAGTTGGAGGAACAGTTTTTCCATTCAATTGTTGCCCAGAACAATAGTATGACCTTGGGTGCCATGGAATGGAAGTTTTTGATAAATAGAAAGTTGAATTTGCGTTGCACGAAGATAAGGAGGCTAAAGCCACCATCATTTTGAAAGCAGGTAAAGATAATTCTACTGTAGAAGTTCAAAAATACATTTTTAGTTCAACTATGCTGGGTGGGGACGAGGAGGTGAGAGAGAATCAGAGAGGATATTGGATATTCATTTATTTTGGCCGAGAAGCTGTTACGGGCACAACTGAACTGAGGGTCGAGATTTCACCAAGAAATGACGTCGTTTTTGTTCTACCCTTTGTTGAAACAAATTTGCTGCACGGACAGGCTAGAAAATCTGAAAATGAAATAATGGTTGTATAGGTTAGAAATAGCGACATAACCTAGGTTGCAAGGTTTGATGTATCGAGGAACATAATTTGTAATTTTAGAGTTCAATCATATTACTTGACATTTTAATACATGACATTTATAATCTTCATTAATTTTTACAACAATCTTTCACGTTAATGGCCAGGTTTTGACAATCAAGGAGACGCCAAGGAGAATGTCAACAAGGAATATATATATAGACACACATATACACAACTTAATTCATTTAGGGCTTGTTTGATAGTCTTCTTTTTCTATAGAAAATGGAATTCCATTTTCCACTGAAATAGTATGTTTGATGGCCAAAAAATTCCATGAAATTGGTTTTCTAGTTACCCCAATGTGACCATATTTTCTTGGTTTTTAAAAATTCAGCCCCGTTGACCCCCATTCTTTTTTTCCTCTCTTTTTATTTTTAACCACATAATTTTTCATAAAATAATATTACATATAAATCGAAAAAATTTCATTCTTTTCCAACCATACATTCTTCAAAAAATAATATTCCAACTATTAAAATTTGGAAAAAATGGGGTCAAACAAGGGCTCAAT